GAGATTACTGATGCCATAAACAGGAGTGTCAATTGGTAAAGTCAACAACAGGAGTCACTGTGCACTTACTCCTCATGTAGGATCTCTGTCCTTAATGTGCTGTACACTGAGACTTAATGCTATAACGAGTACTCAAACAGTATATTTCACTTTGTGTTTCTATGGGGGTGCAAACGATTGAAATCTTTACTTAATGTACACTAAACTGATCTTCTGTAAAAAAAAAAAAAAAAAAGAAAAAGAAATTATCAATTCCCAACTTGACTCTCACTGGGATTAAACATGACAACAGGTCTGCTCTGATTTCATCATCATTTAAAAAAAATCATCTATTATTTTTCACTTTATGTTTCTGTGTGGGAGCAAACTGTTGAAATCCTTACTTAAGGTATACTAAGCTGATCCACTGTTAATTTTAATAGAAAAATATTTTCAGGTAACTTTATACTCAAAATAGTCACTATTCACTAAGTAAAAAGTTCAACAAATAGTATGAAGAAAATAAATTGTTTCTCAAAGTGAGACAAGGCTTGTAAAAAAAAGCATCATATCTCAAAATACTCATTTTATTCCTACACATTATTACCTGTTAAATACTCTATTAGTCACCGCAGATCAGGGACAACATGTGGTATTTGTCTTTTGGGGACTAGCTTATTTCACTAAGTATAATGTTTTCTAGTTATATCCATTTTGTTGCAAAAGACTTCATTGCATTTTTTCCTGCTGAATAGTATTCCATAGTGTATATATACCATAGTTACTTTTTTTCAAGATTCATTTTTCTGAGAGGCAGAGTTGAGAGAGGGAGAGACAGAGAACGAGAGATCTTCCATCTGAGAATGAGAGGTCTTCCTTCTGGTTCACTCTAAATGGATGCAATGGCTAGAACTGGGCTGATGCAAAGCCAGGAGCCAGGAGCTTCTTTTGGGTCTCCCACGCAGGTGCAAGGGCCCAAGGACTTGGGCCATCTTCCACTGTTTTCCTAGGCCTTCATCAGGGAGGATCCAGGCTTCGAACAGGAACACCTATGGGATGCTGGTGCAGCAAGTAGGAGGCTTAACCCACTTTGTGCTGGCCTCCATAATTTCTTTATCTAATCATCATTTGATAGACATCTGGATTGATTCCATATCTTAGCTGTTGTGAATTGAGCAGCCATAAACGTGGGTACAGATAACTCTTTCATCTGCTGATTTCAATTTGTTTAGGTAAATTCCCATGGTGGCATTGCTGGTTCATATGATTCATCTATTTTCAGCCTTTTGAGGTGTCTCCATACTGTCTTCCACAATGGCTTCACCAGATGACATTCCCAGTGGATTAGGGTACTGCATTATTATTATTATGTTATTTATATTAATAATATTAATATATTATAATTATATTAATAATTGACAGGAAGAGTTACAGACAGTGAGAGTGAGAGTGAGAGAGAAAAGTGTTCCATCCAATGGTTCACCCCCCAAATGGCCACAATTGCCAGAGCTGCACCGATCCAAATCCAGGAGCCAGGTGCCTCTTCCTGGTCTCCCATACGGGTGCAGAGGCCCAAGCACTTGGGCCATCCTTCATTGCTTTTCCAGGCCACAGCAGAGAGCTGGACTGGAAGAGGGGAAGCTGGGTTTAGAACCCGGTGCCCATATGGGATGCCAGCACCGCAGGAAGAGGAATCACCTCGTGCACCACGGCACTGGCCACTTGTGTACTGTTTTGCCACATCCTTTCCAGCATTTGTTGTTTGTTGATTTCTGTATGCAAACCATTCTAACTGTGGTGAGGTGAAACTTCATTGTGGTTTCATTTTGCATTTCACTAATGGCTAGTGATCCTGAGCATTTTTCATGTGTCTGTTGGTCATTTGCATTTCCTTCCTTGAGGAATGTCTGTTCAAGTCTGTTGCCCATTCTTAACTGCATTGTTTGTTTTGTTGCTGTTGAGTTTCTTGAGCACTTTATACTTTCTGGATATTAACAATTTATCAGGTCATAGTTTGCATATATTTTCTCTCATTCTGTCAGTTGCCCTTCACTTTGCTGAGTTTTCATTTACAGTGCAAAAGCTTCTCAGCTTGATGTAATCCCATTTGTGTGTTTTTGCTTTTATTGCCTGTACGTCTGTGTTCCAAGAAGTCTGCATCTGGCAATGTCTTGCATCATTTCCACAATGTTCTCTAAGAATTTGATGGTATTAGGTTGTACATTTAGGTCTTTGATCCTTTTTTGAGTTTGTTTTTTGTAAGAATGAGGTAGGTTTTTATTTTCATACTTCTGCATGGGAGATCCACCTTTTATGCACCATTTTTTGAAGAGACTGACCTTGTCACATGGTTGGATTTTAGATCCTTTGTCAAAGATAAATTATTTGTAGATGTGTGGATTGAGTTTTTGGAGTTTCTATTGTGCTCCATTGGTCCACATGTCTATTCTTTGCCAGTATCAGGCTGTTTTGTTTGTAACTGTCCTGAAGTATGTCTTGAATTCTGGTATTGTGATGCTTCTGGCTTTGTTGTTCACATATAAGATTCCATGAGCTATTCTGGGTCTCTTGTGTTTCCATTTGAATTTTAACATCTTTTTCCCCTAGATCTGAAAAGAATGTAATTGGCATTTTAATTGGGATCACATGAATTTGTAAATTGCTTTTGGTACTACTGACATTTTGATTATATTGATTATTTTAGTCCTTGAATATTAAAGATTTTTCCATTTTCTGTGTCTTCTGTTTCTTTCACTAATGTTTGCTAATTTTCATATTAGATACTTTGGCATCCTTGATTAATTTTATCCCATGGTGTTTAATTTTTTTGTAGCAATTGTGAATGGGATTGATCTTAGAAGTTCTTTCCCAGCCATGGCATTTTATACATAGACTATTGATTTTTGTGTTAATTTTGTATCCTGGCACTCCCCCAGACTCTTTTTATGAATTCCAGTAATCTCTTAGTGGAGACTTATTTCCCCTATATATAGAATCCTGTCACCCGCAAGTAGGGGTAATTTGACTCCCTCCTTCCCATTTTGTATCCTTGGATTTCTTTTTCTTGCCTAATAGGTCTGGCTAAAACTTCCAGGTCTATATTGAATAGCAAGGACACAAGTTGTCATCCTTGATTCCAGCTCTTCAGAGGAATGCTTCCAACATTTCCCCATTCATAAGATGCTGTCTATAGGTTTGTCATAAATTGCCTTGATTATGTTGAGCAATGTTCTTACTACACTCAGTTTCCTTAAGGTTTTCACTATGAAAGGATGTTGTATTTTGTCAAATGCTTTCTCTGCATCTATTGAAATAAGCCTATGGTTTATTTGAAAGTTTTATTTATTTATTTGTGAGGCAGAATTATAGACGGAGGAGGAGAGACAGACTTTTTAATTGGTTGGCATACAGTCCTTTGTATTAGCTCCTGATGGGTAAGTCTTTTAATCATCTGTGGTATCTGTTGTTACCTTTCATTTTTCATCTCTGATTTTACTAATTGGGGTCTTTTTTTTTAAGGATAGTTGGACCAAGAGTGTATAAATTTTTTAAGCAAGTTCTTCATTTCACTGATATTTATATTCTTTTTTGCTTTCAATTTTGTTTATTTCTCCTCTAATTTATATATCTCTTTCCTCTTGATAATTTTGCATTTGATTTCATTTTTTTTCAAGGGTGCTACATTGGTGGCTCACTTATTTGATTCTTTTCCAATTTCTTGGTATAGGCACCAATTTCTCTAAACTTTCCAGTATCTGGTAAGTTTTGATATGTTATACTGTCATCTTTATTCGTTTTCATCTTTTTTTAATTTTTTCTGACTCACAGTTCATTCAGGAGCATGTTCAGTCTCCATGTGGTTGTATATGTTCTTGAGGTTCTTGGTGTGGTCATTCGCCCCTTCATTCCATGTAGTTGTGGAAGATGCATGGTATGATTTTGATATTTGTTGAATTAGCTGAGACTTATGGCCTACCTTATTGTGTATCCTGGAGGGTGGCTCAAGGCCTTAGTTCCTGTCAACCATGTGGGAGACGTGGATGAAGATCCTACTTCTCAGCTTTAGTCCCATCTTGAGGGCATTTGGGGAGTGACTCAGTAGATGAGAGCTATCTCTAGCTCTCTCTCTCATAATGAATCATTCAAAATTTTACCTCCCTTTTTTACCTGGAAACTTGATTTAAAGTATTCAAACTTGATGTATTTCATATATACAAATTTAGAAACATTAATTATTCCCACTCCACCCTCGCTCACTCCTACCCACCGACCCGAACATGCTCCCATCCCTCTTCATTTTTTTTAAAGATTTATTTATTTATTTGAAAGTCAGAGTTACACAGAGGAAAGGCATAGAGAGGTCTTCCATCCGATGGTTCACTCCACAATGGTCAGAGCTGTGCTGATCTGAAGCCAGGAGCCAGGAGCTTCTTCTGCATCTCCCAATGGGTCAGGGGCCCAAGGACCTGGGCCATCCTCCACTGCTTTCCCAGGCTATAGCAGAGAGCTGGATCGCAAGTGCAGAAGCCAGTCTCAAACTGGCGCCCATATTTAATGCTGGTGCTCCAGGCCAGGGTGTTAATCTGCTTGGCCACAGCACCGGTCCTATTTCCCATCCCTCTTCATCCTCTATCCACGATTCCTATTCTTATTTTATACAAAAATCTATTTTCAATTATTTTATACTCATAATATAAAGCCTGCACTATGTAAAGAATTCAACAGTTTGAAAGAATTAAAAAAAATCTGTTCCTGAAGAGGCAAGACATGGTTTGTTTAAAATCATTCTATCTGCAAGACAAGAGTTGTCTAAATCATTGTACGTCAAAGTATCAATATCACTAATATAGCTCACCTTTTAGGTACTCTGTTACCACAGATCAGGGAGAATATACAGTGTTTGTCTTATTTTGGAAAGGGTTATTTTAAAGTGTAAGGTTTTACAGTTGCATCCATTTTTTTTCTTTTTGCAAATGACAGGTTTTTCTTTTTTCTTTTTTCTTTCTTTTTTTTTTTTTTTTTCCTGGAGCACATCGGAGATCAACACAGTCTTAGCCCGGAGCCAAGACTGCTGTCACCCACGTTTTTGACGCTGCCTGGCAACTTCCGGTGCTGCTGTGCTTACTGGGAGGAAGAGGCGGGTCCTAGATGGCTGGCGCTTGCGCAGTCGGCCTGGTGGAGAGCAAGACGGTATTATCTGCTGGTGGCGGCATGTCATCGGCAGCCGGAATTCTCGGCTGATGGCGGCGTTTTCGGCAGCTGTACTGGCCCAGAGAGTGCGGGAGTGAAGGTGAGTTTTTCTTATGAAACAATGAGAGGCCTGGGACCTCGCCGCGGGGGGGGGGGGTCGTGGCTCCTCGGAGCAGTGTAGACACTCATGTCCGCAGGCTGGCGGCCGTGGGGGCAGGCGGCGGCTCAGCTGTGGGAAGCGGAGAAGCGGGTGGCTGGGCTTGCGCTGGAGGACAGGACTGCGGGTTACAAGGTATGTTTGTTTGTAACCTCTAAGTTATTTACTTAGTTCTAGCAGTGTTTTTGGTGGGTGTTTTAGTTTTCATTGATTTTTATGAGTCTTTTTAGGTTGTCTATATCTTCTGGATTTAATCTTAGTAGGTCACGTGTATTTGTTATCCAGGGATTCCTCTGTTTCTTCTAGTTTTCCAGTTTATTAGCATATAGTACTGAATAGCAATTTCTCTGAAACCTTTGTTTCAGTGATGTAGATTATAATCTCTGCTTTTTTTCTGTAATTTTATTTACTGGAGTTTTTATCATTTTTGTTAGTCTGGTTAGAAGATTATGTACTTTTTAAAATTTTATATCAGGTATGTAAATTTCATGTATTTCTTATATACAGATTCAAACATACTGATACTACTTCCCATGCTAGCATCTCTCAAGCCTGCACTCCCATCCTTCTTCTTCCTCCTTCTCTTGTTCCCACTCTTAATTCTTCATCAGTTAAAGGTAGGGTGGGCAAGTTCCACGTGAGCTGCGTAGTGATCTTTTTTCAAAAAAATATATATTCTTAAGTGGCAGAGATCCAGAGATAGGGAAACACAGAGATAGAGGTCTTCCATCTGCTGCTTTGCTCCTGAAATGGCCACAGGGCCCATTGCTGGGCTGATCCAAAGCTAGGAGTCAGGAGTTTCTTCCAGGTCTCCCATATGGAGACTGCATTCAGTAAGAGTGGTAAAAGGGAATCCTTGTGTTGTTATATGTTTGACAAAATGATTTCACATTCTCCCCATCCAGCATGACATTGGCTGTTGGTTTGTCATACATAGCCATTATGATATTGATATGTATTCCTTCTGTGTATATTTTGTGTAGTTTTTAATCATTTTTTATTCTACTGATATCTGTATCTAATTAGATGATGTGGTTTTCAAAAGATTTATTTCATTTGTTTGCAAGATTTATACAGAGAGATATAGGTAGAGCAAGAGCAAAAGAGAAGGAGGGAGGGAGAGAGGTCTTCTGTTTGCTAGTTCATTCCCCAAAAGACCTTGATGGCCAAACTGAGCCATCAGGATCCAGAACCTTCTTCCAAGTCTCCCATGTGGCTGCATGGCCCCAACTAATTGGGACATCCTCCGACATTTTCCCAGGCATGTTAGGAGGGAGCAGGATTGAAAGTGGAGCAGCCTGGATGCTAAATGGCACCCATATGAGATGCCGGCATTATGTGTTTTGGTTTTAACCCTCTGTAACACAGCGCCAGCCCAGACAATGTGGTTTTATTCTTCCATTTTTTGATAAAATTCATCATGTGTATTAATTTGCAAATGTGGAACATCATGGCATTTCTGATATAAATTCCAATTGAAGGTTTTATGTGAGCTTCAGCATGTGGTTTTGGTTTTGTTAGGCTAGAATTTTGTTAAGAATCTTTGCATCTTTTTCATTATGCATATAGGCCTTCAGTTTTCTTTGTATTTCGTGTTTTGTTATCTTTTGTAGTTAAAGTAATGCCGGCCTCTCAAAAAGTGTTTGTTAGAGTTGAATCCTACTCCTTCCAGTTTATTATTTTGAAATAGTTGTAAAAGTATTGGAGTTGCTTTTTAAAGCTTCAAGCTCCTTGGATACCTTTATTCAAAGTTATTTAAATTTTAGTAGCTATTGTGAATGGAATGGATCTTCGAAGTGGTTTCTCAGCCCTGATATTGTGTGTATACAAATTCTATTGATTTTTGTGTGTTGATTTTATATCCTGCCACTTTTCCAAACTCTGTTAAGAGTTCTAATGGTCTCGTGGTGGAGTTTCTTGGTTCCCCCATTTATAAAATCATGTCCTTTTGAAGGAGGGATAGTTTGACTTCCTCCTTCCCAATTTGTATCCATTTGATTTCTTTTTCTTGCCTAATGGCTCTAAAACTTCCAGAACTATATTGAATAGCAGTAATGAGAGTGCATCCTTGTCTGATCCAGATCATAGTTGGGAATGCTTCCAACTTGTCCCCATTCATAACATGCTATCAGTCGGTTTGACATAAATTGCCTTGATTGTGTAGAGGAATGTTCTTTCTGTCATCAGTTTCCCTGAGGTTTTCTTTCTGAAAGGTTTTTGCATATTTTCCAGCTGTTTTCATCTATTGAAATAATTATGTTTTTTAAATATGTATTTAATTGAAAGGCAGATTTATGGAGTGAGGGAGATTTCCCAAGAATTTCCAATTCATTGGCAAACAATACATTGTAGGAATTCCAGATAGTTGTTTTTATTATTGGGTTTCTATTATTACAGTTTGTTTTTCATTTCTGATTTTACTGATTGGGGTCTTATTCCTGTTTTGTTGTTGTTGTTGTTTTGGAGATTTTCAGCAATTTTCTAAAAAATAGTTTTTAACCAGATTTTCATATCAGTGATCTTTTTATTTTTTTAGACAGGCAGATTTAGACAGAGAGAGAGACAGAAAGGTCTTCCTTTTTGTTGCTCATTCTCTAAATGGCCGCTCTGGCTGGTGCACTGCGCCGATCTGAAGCCAGGAGCCAGGTGCTTCCTCCAGATCACCTATGCGGATGTAGGGCCCAAGCACTTGGGCCATCCTACACTGCACTCCCGGGCCACAGGAAAGAGCTGGACAGGAAGAGGTGCAACCGGGACAGAATCTGGCACCCCGACCAGAACTAGAATCCGGTGTGGCAGCGCTGCAAGTGGAGGATTAGCCTATTGAGACATGGCGCTGGCCTCAATGATCTTTTATAATGTTTTTCTTCAGCTTTGTTCATTTCTTCTCAAATTTCCATGATTTCTGTCATCCTACTAATTTGGAGTTTGATACGTTGTTTTTCTAGATTTTGTGATGCATTGAAAAGCTCATTTATTTGATTCCTTTCCAATATCTTGTTGTAGTTACAAGTTGTTATAAAGTTCCTGTTAACATTGCATTTGCTGTGTCCCATACATTTTACTATGTTGTACTGTTATCTTTGATCATTTCCAGAAATTTCTGGATTTTCATTTTGATTTCTCCTAAGACCAACCATTCATTCAGGAGCATGTTGCTCGGACTCCACGTGTTTGCATATATTCTGGAGTTTCCTAAGTTGTTGATTTCCTGTTTCCTTTCATTTTGATCATAGAAGATGCATGAACTGATTTCAGTTATTGAGTTTTCTAGGCTTGCTTTATGTCCTATCATAAGTTGTGTCCTAGAGAAAGTTCCAGGGACTGATGAGAAGAATATGTATTCTGCAAGTTGTGGGATGAAATGTTCTGAGTTAGTATTTCAAACAAGGCAGCCTGTTCTCAGGGACAAAGTGATGAGCAACTGTGTCACCTACAATTTTGACATAGGGGAGGGGCTAGGAAACGACCAAGAGAAGACAGTTCAGGTGTTCTTGTAAGATACTGTTTTTAGTTAAGAGATCCAAATTCCATGCATTTCATAAATGCAATTTAGGTACACAGTGATAGTCCCTACCCTACCTCCCTGTCAGGGGCATAACACATTGTGCACTTGTTTGTCTGACTCCGGGCAGCAACCCTGGCACCGACCAGGCCAAGGATGCTGGGCAGGTATCTGCCGTTCAGTAGCCCTGACCATGGGCAGTTTGGCAGAGCTGTGCACCATGTGGGAATGGCTGGGTGTTAGCCCGGGAGGTGTAGAGAGCTCCACACTGCCCTGAGCTTCTGGTGGGCTGGATTGGGAGCAACGATGCCCTTGGAGTGCTCCTGATCATGGTGAGCACAGGAAAGGCATGTCAGGCTGGGGCTCAGGCTGCAGCCCCTGGTTCTTCAAGGTAGTGCGGCCTGTTCTGCTGATGCTTTGTTTCTGGGAGGACGCTGTGTTTCTGGGAGGAAGGGATGGGTGTTAGGCCTAGGGGAGAAGTAGGCTATATCCAAGGCAGTGTCGTTGTTGGCTGGCATTGGCAGTAGTGGTTCAGTAGGCTTGTAGAGTGCAGGATGGACTTGTTGTGTTTAAGTTTTTGGACAGAGAGATGCCCAGGGCCTGCCTCAAAGGATGGGGGATCCCGGTGCTTCCCAGCAGTGTTTTCCCTGCAAATCCACTGGTTCAGAGGCAGCGGGGGCTGGGCAGGGGCTCAGGTGTGAAGAAGCCATGATGCAGCTGTCTGCCTCGCCTCCCCCCCCAAGAAGGACTCGGATGTGAAACTAACGCAGAGTGGACACTGACCCTCAGCTGCCGGGTAATCTTGCTCTTCTGGAGACTCTCCACTTCCTGTCATCAGTTCATGGACATCAGGTTTGATTCCGTATCTCAGCTATTGTGAACTGAGCTGCAGTAAACCTGGAGGTACAGATAACCCTTTAAAATCTGCTGATTTCATTTCCTAGGGGTAAATCACCAGGAGAAGGATTGCTGAGTCATATGGTAGATTTATTTTCAGCTTTCTGAGGTATCCCCATACTGTCTTAGGCAATGGCTTCCCCAGGTTACATTTCTACCAACAGTGTATTAGGGTAGCATAGTGTCAGATCCTCAGCAGCATTTATCGTTTGTTGATTTTAGTATGAGAGGCATTCTGACTGTGGTGTGGTGAATCCTGATGGCTAGCGATCCTGAGCCTTTTTTCATGTGTCTGTTGGCCATATGAAGTTCCTCTCTTGAAACATGCCTGTTCAAGTCCTTTGCCTATTTTTAAATGGAATTTTTGTTTTGTTGTTGTTGAGTTCCTTGAACTCTTTGTAGATTGTGGCTATTAATCTTTTATAAGTTTTATAGTTGGCAGATTATTTTCTCTTATTCAAAGCCTCTTGACTTTGCTCTTTTTAGATTCTGGATATTAATCTTTATTTTTTGACAGGCAGAGTTAGACAGTGAGAGAGAGGGAAAGAGAGAGAAAGGTCTTCCTTTTTCCATTGGTTCATCCCCAATTGGCTGCTGCGGCTAGCACACCACGCTGCTCCAAAGCCAGGAGCCAGGTGCTTCTCCTGGTCTCCCATGCGGGTGCAGGGCTCAAGGACTTGGGTCATCCTCCGTTGCACTCCTGGCCACAGCAGAGCCTGAACTGGAAGAGGAGCAACAGGGACAGAATCTGGCACCCTGACCGGGACTAGAACCCAGAGTGCTAGCGCTGCAGGTGGAGAATTAGCCTATTGGGCTGCAGCGCTGGCCTGGATATTAATCTTTTATCAGTTTCGTAGTTAGCAAATAGTTTCTCCCATCCTTTTGGTTGCCTCTTTACTGTGCTGAGTGTTCCTTTTGTAGTGCAGAAGCTTCTCAGCTTGATGGAATCTCATTTGTTTGTTTCAGCTTTTATTGTGCTACTGGCATTTTTTCCCAGAAATCTTTCTTTAAGCCAATGTTTTCCAGTATTCCCCAATGTTCTCTAATAGTTTGATGATATTGAGTTTTAGATTTTGTTCCTTGACGTGTTTTAGTTGCTTTTTGTATAAGGTGGAAAGTATGGGTCTTCTTTCATACTTCTGCATGTAGAGGTCTAGTTTTCTCAGGACCTTTTTATAAAGAAACGGTCCTTTGAACCTGGGATTGATCTTTAGCTCCTTCTTGAAAGATAGATTAGTTGTAGATGTGTGTGTTATTTCAGGTGTTTCTTTTCTGTCCCATTGTTATATTTTCTGTTCCATTCTTTTCTGTTCCATTGTTGTCATTTTTTTTTTGCCTATAGCAAGCTGTTTTGATTGTAACTGTCCTGTGCTATGTCTTGCAATCTGTTATTGTGATGCTTCAAGTTTTGTCAATGTTGTATAAGGTTGCCTTCTCTATTCAGATGTTCTGTGTTTTCATATGAATTTTAGCATTGTTTTCTCTCCATCTGGGCAAAATGCTATTTGACCTTTGCTTGGGATCCCATTGTGTCTGTAAATTGCTTATGGTAGAATGGATATTTGCATTATGTTGATTTTGCCAATGAGTCAACGTGGAAGATTTTTTCCATTTTTGTGTGTCGTCTTCCATTTCTTAATGTTTTGTAACTTTATTTGTAGACATTTTCATCAATATGAAATTGGACACTGAGTTGACAAGGAAGTTCAGCTGCTGGGTAATCTTCCATTTCTGGAACCTCCTTGGCTTCCTGGTAAAACCCAGCTGTGCCTTCACCCTGGACAGGAGCAACTGGTTAGTAGTACATGTGGCTGTGTCCTGTTGATGGCAGCCCTTGGGCCCAAGGAGGAGAGAAGGGAAGGGAAGGGAACCCTGTGCCCTGGGGTTGGGCTGCCAGGCTGACAGCAAAGTGGACTTCCAGACTTTGTGAAGGAAGGTCAAGTGTTGGGAGCCCTATATACATGTGGAGACAGAAATGTGGGGGTCTAGTGTTCCTAGAATAGAGGAACCACAGAGACAGAGTTGAATAAGATATTGGTGAATGATTTCCCTGGGTCTTTGCCGAGAATTGTGGGGCAAAGAACATGCTAAGAAGGGAAGAATGGTTGTCCAGGCAGTGGGAGGGGAATCTGGGAGGAAAACTGTCAAATGTTTAATCAGAGGAAAAACATAAGAGTCTGGTTTGGAGAGATGTGGTAATAGTTGTTTGGGTTTTAGATTTTCAGGCTAAGGACGATGGGATTGCAAGTACTTCATGCAGTGGGAGTGGAGGGTTAGATGCCATGGAAGAACCTGGGGCGTGCAAGGTTTTGGGAGCTGAAAACAGTTTGTGTCTGTATGTCACTATCCTATGATAGAAAAGGAAAATGGAAGGATTGTGAGGAGGAAGGCAGGCAACTTTGAGGAGAGTTGTAATAGGGAGGAGCTGTAATAGGTCTGCTTGTAAGAACTAGTGGAGTATCAGAGTGTGAGGTCCAGGATAGGCCCTGGGGAGAAACCTTACGAAAAGTGAGGGAAGGGATATCAGGAGGCGGGCAGAGGGAACTTTCAGGAGGGACTGGGGAATGGGTGCTGAGTTAATCAGGAAATTTGACCAAAGTGTGCAGACTACCAAGAGATGGAGAAGATGTTATCTGAAAGAAAACTGGGTTGATAGGGGTCTTGGGAACAGGGAGAACATGTTTTAGCCTATGAATGAAGTTTGTGGCTTGTGGAAGAGGAGTTTCTCTTGGTAAATATATTTTTCTTGGCTTTCAAAGGAGTGTCTGCTATGTGCCCACATTTGTTCTAGTTATTTAAGATATTGCAGAGAGCATCATGAGGGTCAATGAAAAAGTCTGTGGAAAGAGGAATTTGTAAGTTTGTTTCATTGTGTGTGTGTGTGTACAGAGAGAGAGATAGAGAATTATTCTTATCAATTCAACTGATGATGTTTGAAGTCCTTGACAATTTCTTGTTTTCCCTGCCGTGAAGCATACTGCAATAAATATTGTGGTGAACGTATCTCTGATACAATACGTTCATGTATTTTGGGTTATATCAGTAGAGGAATTGTTCCATCATATGACAAGTCTGTTTTTATTTTCTTAAGAAATCTTTATATCGTTTTCCACAGTAGTTGCACTAATTTAAATTTTTACCACCAGTGTGTAAGTGTTCCACTTTTCCCATATCCTCCTCCTCATTGTGACTCTCTGTCCTTTCGGTTTTAGCCAGTATATACGTGTGAGCTGATATCCCATTGTAGTTTGGACTTGCATTTCCCTGATAGCTTGTGATGTTGAGCATTTTTTCCTATATTTGTTGGCCATCTGTGTATCTATGGGGAACTGTCTGTTGCGTTCCTTTGGCAATTTCATAACCTGATTGGTGGTTTTTTTGCTGTTTTTTTTAAGTTGCAAATATATTCTTTCTTTCTATTTTTTTAAACTTTTATTTAGTAAATATAAATTTCCAAAGTACAGTTTATGGATTACAATGGCTTCCCCCCATAACTTCCCTCCCACTCGCACCTCTCCCATCTCCAGCTCCCTCTCCCATTCCATTCACATCAAGATTCATTTTCAATTATCTTTATATACAGAAGATCAATTTAGTATATATTGAGTAAATATTTCATCAGTTTGCACCTGCACAGAAACACAAAGTGTAAAATACTGTTTCAGTACTAGTTATAGCATTACTTCACGTAGGACAACACCTTAAGAACAGATCCCACATGAGGAGTAAGGACACAGTGACTCCTGTTCTTGACTTAACAATTTGGCACTCTTGTTTATGGCATCAATAATCTGCCTAGGCTCTAGTCATGAGTTACTGAGGCTATGGAAGCCTTTTGAGTTCGCCAACTTCGATCTTATTCCCACAGGGTCATAGTCAAAGTGGAAGTTCTCTCCTCCCTTCAGAGAAAGGTACCTCCTTCTTTGATGGCCCCGTTCCTTCCACTGGGATCTCACTCGCAGAGATCTTCCACTTAGGTCTTCTTTTTTTTTCTTACCCCAGAGTGTCTTGGCTTTCCATGCGTAAAATACTCTCATGGGGTCTTCAGCCATTTCTGACTGCCTTAAGGGCTGATTCTGAGGCCAGAGTGCCATTTAGGACATCTGCCATTTTATGAGTCTGCTGTGTATCCCGCTTCCCATGTTGGATTGTTCTCTCCCTTTTTGATTCTGTCAGTTAGTATTAGCAGACACTAATCTTGTTTTTGTGATCCCTGTGATTCTTGGACCTATCAGTGTGATCAGTTGTGAACTGAAATTGATCACTTGGACTAGTGAGATGGCATTGGTACATGCAATCTTGATGGGATTGAATTGGAATCCTCTGGCAGATTTCTAACTCCACCATTTGGGTCAAGTTCAAATGAGCATGTTTCAAAATGTACATCTCCTCCCTCTCTTATTCCCACTCATATTTAACAGGGATCACTTTTCAGTTAAAATTTAAACACCTAAGAATAATTGTGTGTTAATTACAGAGTTCAACCCAATAGTACTAGAACAAAATGTACTAAAAGGGATAAAGTATTAAATTGTACAGCAACAGTGATGACAAGGGCTGATCAAGTCACTGTTTTTCATTGTGTCCATTTCACTTCAACAAGTTTCCCCTTTGGTGCTCAGTTCGTTGTCACTGATCAGGGAAAACATATGATATTTTCCCTTTCGGACTGGATTAATTCAGTCAGCATGGTGTTTTCCAGATTCCTCCATTTTGTTGCAAATGACCTGATTTCATTATTTTTGATTGCTGTATAGTATTCTATAGAGTGCATTTCCCATAATGTCTTTATCCAGTCTACTATTGATGGGCATTTCGGTGATTCCAGGTCTTAGCTATTGTGAATTGAGCTGCAATAAACATTAATGTGCAGACCGCTTTTTTGTTTGCCAATTTAATTTCCTTTGGGTAAATTCCAAGGAGTGGGATGGCTGGGATGAATGGTAGGGTTATGTTCAGGTTTCTGCTGAATCTCCAGACTGACTTCCATAGTGGCTTTACCAGTCTACATTCCCACCAACAGTGGGTTAGTGTCCCTTTTCCCCACATCCTCGCCAGCATCTGTTGTTGGTAGATTTCTGAATGTGAGCCATTCTAATTGGGGTGAGGTGAAACTGCTTGTGATCTTGAATATTTTTTCATGTGTCTGTTGGCCATTTGGATTTCCTCTTTTGAAAAATGTCTATTGAGGTCCTTGGCCCATCTCTTAAGTGGGTTGTTTGTTTTGATGTTGTGGAGTTTCTTGATTTCTTTGTAGATTCTGGTTATCAACCCTTTATCTGTTGAATAGTTTGCAAATATTTTCCCATTCTGTCCATTGCCTCTTCACTTTCCTTACTGTTTCTTTTGCAGTACAGATACTTCTCAATTTGATGCAATCCCAAATGGTAATTTTGGCTTCAACTGCCTGTGCTTCCCGGGTCTTTTCCAGAAATTCTTTGCCTGTGCCAATATCTTGAAGGGTTTCTCCAATGTTCTCTAATAACTTGATGGTGTCAGGTCGTAGATTTAGGTCTTTAATCCACGTTGAGTGGATTTTTGTGTAAGGTGTAAGGTAGGGGTCTTGCTTCATGCTTCTGCATGTGGAGATCCAGTTTTCCCAGCACCATTTATTGAATAGACTGTCCTTGCTCCAGGAATTGGTTTTAGATCCTTGATCAAATATAAGTTGGCTGTAGATGTTTGGGTTGATTTCTGGTGTTTCAATTCTGTACCATTGGTCTATCCATCTGTTTCTGTACCAGTACCATGCTGTTTTGATAACAACTGCCCTGTAGTATGTCCTGAAATCTGGTATTGTGTTGCTTCCGACTTTGTTTTTGTTGTACAAGATTGCTTTAGCTATTCAAGGTCTCCTGAGTCTTCATATGAATTTCAGCACGATTTTTTCCAGATCTGAGAATAAGGTCTTCGGTATCTTGATTGGTATTGCATTGAATCTATAAATTACTTTTGGGAGAATGGACGTTTTGATGATATTGATGCTTCCCATCCATGGGCATGGAAGATTTTTCCATTTCTCGGTATCCTCTTCTATTTCTTTCCTTAAGGTTTTGTAATTTTCATCGTAGAGATCTTTAACATCCTTGGTTAAGTTTATTCCAAGGTATTTGATTGTTTTTGTGGCTATTGTGAACGGGATTGATCTTAGCAGTTCTTTCTCAGCTGTGGCATTGCCTGTGCATACAAAGGCTGTTGGTTTTTGTGCATTGATTTTATATCCTGCTACATGGCCAAATTCTTCTATGAGAACCAATAGTCTCTTAGTGGAGTTCTTTGGATCCCCTAAATAAAGAATCATATCATCTGCAAAGAGGGATAGTTTGATTTCTTCCTTCCCAATTTATATCCCTTTAATTTCTTTTTCTTACCCAATAGCTCTGGTTAGAACTTCCAGAACTATGTTGAATAGCAGTGGTGAGAGTGGGCATCCCTGTCTGTTACCGGATCTCAGTGGAAATGCTTCCAACTTTTCCCCATTCAATAGGATGCTGGCTGTGGGTTTTTCGTAAATTGCTTTGATTGTATTGATGAATGTTCCTTCTATACCCAGTTTGCTTAGAGTTTTCATCATGAAAGGGTGTTGTATTTTATCAAATGCTTTCTCTGCATCTATTGAGATAATCATATGGTTTTTCTTTTGCAGTGTGTTAATGTGGTGTATCACATTGATTGTTTTGCGCACATTAAACCATCCCTGCATACCAGGGATAAATCCCACTTGGTCTGGGTGGATGATCTTTCTGATGTGTTGTTGCATTCTATTGGCGAGAATTTTATTGAGGATTTTTGCA